TATATATATATATATATATATATACTAGGTGCGCAACTAAGTTTCCGGGTTTCACATATGGATGGCGCTAACGACACATGTAGTCGACATACATGTCTAAAGTTGTGTTTCTTTTATAGCTTGGACATCTGTCAACAATAACCAGTCATAATACCAACACTTATCGCAAGGCAAAAATATTTGTTCTAACAATGAAGATGTCGAGTTTTGTGCCAAATAAACAGCATTTGCGGGAAGCTTTGCTTTTCTGCTTTAACTTAAAAAAAAATTCAGCTGAAGCACGTCGTTTGCTTGAGGAGGCCTACGGCGAACATTCACCATCGAAAACTACCTGTGAAGATTGGTTTAAACGCTTCAGAAGTGGCGATTTCGACATTAAGGACAAGGAGCGCTCAGGAAGACCAAAACAATTGAGGACGCCAATCTGCAAGCGTTATTGGATAAAGATGATACATAAACACAAGATCAACTTGCGGAGATATTAAACATGACTCGCCAAGGTATTTCCAAACGTTTACATGCCATGGGAAAAATTCAAAAGGAAGGAAAATGGGTGCCGCATGAGTTGACTGAGAGACAGATGGAAAATCGAAGAGCCACTTCCAAAATTTTGCTTTTGCGGCATGAAAGAAAGAGTTTCCTGCATCGAATTGTTACTGGCGATGAGAAGTAGATATATTTCGAGAATCCCAAACGCAAAAAGTCGTGGTTTTCATCTGGCGAAGCATCAACATCGACGGCACGGCTAAATCGCTTCGGAAAGAAGACAATGCTCTGCGTTTGGTGGAACCAGAAAGGAATCGTGTACTATGAGTTGTTGAAACCGGGCGAAACTGTCAATGGGCATCGCTACCGACAACAACTGATCAATTTGAACCATGCATTGCTCGAAAAACGGCCAGAATGGGACACGAGACACGAACGAGTGATATTGCAGCACGACAACGTTCCGTGCCATCGCACTTCCATCGTCCAGGACACTATCAAAACGCTGAAATGGGATCTGCTACCGCACCTGCCGTATTCATCAGATCTGGCTCCTTCCGATTATCACTTGTTTCGGTCGATGGCACATGGCTTGGCTGGGCTACACTTGGCCAATTTCAAAGAAGTGCATAATTGGTTGGATGAATGGTTTCGGTCCAAAGACGCGTCGTTTTATTGTCGCGATATTCATGTATTGCCAGAGAGATGGCAAAAATGTGTAGCTAGCGAGGGACGATACTTTGAATAAACCATTTTTTGTATTTCTCTTGAAATTTTCCATTTTTCATTGATCAAAAAAACTCGGAAACTTAGTTGCGCACCTAGTACATAGTATTTAATATATTTATATTATATTTAATATATATTTAATATATTTAATATATTTATATTATATTTAATATATATTTAATATATAGAATTTAATTTTGAAAGTTATTTAGTTGCAGATCGAGTTTTCCAAGAGCGCCACTTCATGCAATATATTTAAACAATATTTGGCGCCCTTTGAACAGTTAATTTCTTTTCTCTATTTCTTGTTTCGCAAAATGAGAATTACAAAAGATCAAATTTATTTTTTTAATCTTTACATTTTTATTTTCAAATTTAATCTTTCCACTAAAAAAATTTGAGCTTGTAAAATAAATAAATAAGAAATGATTTTGAAATTTGCAGAAAGCCTCTGTGAATCGATACAGACAATTATGATAAACATTTGTGTCAAACATTAAGTTAGTCGAATAAACTATTTTCAAGTTATGGTGGTTACAGTTGAAAAAAGCTACCTTGAGAATGATGCGTTTAAAATTTCATAATGAGAGAAGAATTTTTTTCAATGTTTTATGCCGATATTGTTAAATGTTAACGGACATATATAACAACAAACTCATGCTTCTAATAATTTACAACTTTCTACATAAAACTTGCTAAATTTTACCCAGTTTTTGCTCCTGTAAGTTAAGGGATCCTGTAACTCCTAAATATAAATTTCTTTTCTACGCGCGTGTAGACTTTCGAGAGGAGGGGGAAGGAAATCGTACGCGGGGAGGTAATCGCATAATTTCATTTTATATTTGTATATACAGTCACTTTACAACGCGCACTTTGTTACACAGTGTAGCTCGATTACTTTTAGGTCAGCGAACGCCAAGTGATCTCGGTAAAGACGATATCAAAGTAAAAAAAAACTAATTAAGAAGGGGCGCGCCCTGTGTATGCCGCGTGTATCTCTCGCGCGAAGAAGATGGGCGACGACGACGACGACGACGCTGAAGGGGATTATTTTAATGTCCGTCCACCAAGCGGAAGCTTCGACAAAGAGCCTCTTCGCAACGTCATGCGGGACAGACAGACAGACAGACAGACAGACCATGGCCCGCTGCGTGTTTCTCGCCGCCGCGTACACACGGCGCTTGATAAACGCCGTGCTCACAGTCGCCCTCGAACTTTCACCCCCTCCCTCTCACCCCGAATTTCCGCGTGTCGTGCATTATCCGGCCGGATAAGATGCTCGCGGGGAATTCGGGACGTTCGAGTGTGACGCGTGTCGGATCGATAAAGCGCACAAAGCCGTCGGCGAGAAATCGGGCCCAACGCGCTTATTCTGTAACTTTCCACGACAATATCGGTTATCGTTGAACGTCGTTGCGCAGCTATCAGTTAGCTCCGTGCGGCACATCCCCGCGACGTGTCGTGTCACACACATGCGTTAAAAACTTACAGAATAGGTCTGCGGCCTACTGTTAACTACGCGCGATAAGCGGCGAGAAAACGGCGGCGGGCCGAGACTTCGAAAACGCGTTTCAAAAGGCAGCAAGGTCCATACAGCAATCGATGACGCATGAATATCTCGCTCGTCAAGGTGCACGTACGCTCCTTCCGAGAAGAAACATCGATCGTAGGATCTCTATTATTGGCAGTAGCGTTAGTCGTACATTGCGACGGAAGCCAACGTCTCCCTTCATCCTTATCTCGCGCCACCTCGCTCGAGGCGATTTCTAAAGATCTCGTGCTCGATTAAACGAGCCTCGAGACGAGAGTGTCTCCGACACCCGTCGCGAATGTTTCTCGTTACGCGCGAAAATTCGTGTGTACGACAAGATGATTAAAGCTCGCGACACTTTCATCCCCGTTGAGTCTTGCGACTTCTAAAAAGTACAATCTCATCCTTAGTGGAATCTTCCTATATATACGAAGAAAATATTGCAATAAAGGTTACAATATCTTTGTAATCTTAAACCATACGGAATTATGACTGAAATTACTATGTATTTATTTATAAATGTATGACTTCTTACTATAAAATTACTTGAGTATGTTTTATATCGTATACCGGGTAGATAATTAAGTTTACAATTTCTATGATTTTCACTACAATTTTAATTCAGAAAAATTGTTCTTATTCAAAAATTTTATTAAAACCATATCAAAAATTTTTTTGTAAAATTTTTTGAATAGAATATCATTAAATTTTATATATAACTCTTTCTTATATATTTGTAATTTTCTTTCTTAAAATTTTGTAAATTTTAATAAAACCTTTTTGTTAAAACTTTACTAAAATACTGTAATAAAAATTACATTAAAATTATGTTTTCTCCACAATGTGAAGCTGAACTATATTGAAATTTTTCTGTAAGAGGATTCCACGCTAAAAGGACGAGATTACGTTTTCCTGGATGAACATATTCCATATCCAATAAAATAATTTTTAATTTTTTAATAATTCTCAGAAGATAAACTTTTTCTTTGAATGCGTTGCGAGACTTATCGAAGTAGAAATGTTGCAATCTTTAATCATCTGACTGTGCATACTTAAACTAAAGGAAAACTGAAAAAGTATAATGAAAGCATAATACAAGGTATAATTACATTCTAAATTTCTTAGAGACAAATCTTGCTGAGAATAAGAGTGAAATTTTACTTGAAGCAAAATTGAGAATACTGCCACTCAGAATCACAAGAATAAATGTTTAACTGAAATTTAGAGTGGATTTTTAATTTATGTTAATTTTTTTAATAAATTAAATAATTAGGAGAATTCGTCTCTGCGACGATAAAATACATCAGATTCGCTCTAAGGTTTCGAATGAAAATATTCACTCGACAATTCAGAGGACATAGCTCACTCTATACTCGAATTTGAGAGTGGCCTAGCTCATTCCACCTTTTAAGTAAAATTTCACTCGAAGAAATTTAGAGAGTAGAAATACTGTTGAGCGTTTCAAAGAAATCATATAATTAATTAATTAGTGAATTAAACGATTGAAGTAAATTTATTTCTACGATAGTGAGGTCTATCAAAAGCCACTCTTCAATTTTAGTAAAAATGTTCACTCACAATTGGAAGTGGAGAATTCATTCCACACGAACGAAAAGTCACTCGAATTCGAGTGACTTGACTGTTGTTCTGCTTCTCGAGTGGAATTTCATTCGATGAAATCGAAAGAGTGGAAATATGAGTGTCTCGAGAAGAGACATCTCTGTAAATATAAATAAATACCTCTGTAAATACAAAAGGGCAAATAAAATAAAAGAGTAAATGACTAATGACATAAGAGAAGAAATAATAATCTACGAATATTTAGTTCCAAGCGCTCTTAATTCGCGATGCACACGATCGAGTTTCGAGGGGCGCAAATATACTTTTCCTTCATCTCTGTTACCTCCTTTTCTGGATTAACGAGCGATAATCGCAATAGAACAAGGTACATTCTACGTACAATCGCATATCTATCTCTCTCTCATTCTCACTCTGATTCTCACACTCTCTTTCTCCTCTTCTACGCCGGTCTCTCTTGTTCTCGCTCGTGGGGGGGCACGTTACGTGGTCGCAAAGTGCATTTGTCGATATGTCAACCATAAGATAAAACACGGGGAGGGTAAAAGACCTTCCAAAAGACAAAAACTCGCGTGTCGAAAAGGGGGAGGATATGTGTGTGCGGAGATTGGCGCGCGATTGATATTCGCATTTGCTCGCGGATATGGTTTTTTGGACTGCGATCGCGGTCGATCCGATATGTCGGCGGATATTCATCGCGAATCGGCGGTGAATGTCGCGGGGAATGTTGATATATACGTGCACAAATCAACGAGGCTTGATTCACACTATCAGGGACGGATTAGTAGATTGGATCGAGATGTTGAGAGAGATACTTTGGGCAGGCTACTTTCGTGCTCAACGTAATCACATAGACAAAGTAACTCCACTGCAATTTCATAATCCTACGCTATTACTCCTCTACTATGTTACTCTATTATTCTCAGTTATAACTAATATCCTACTTTCGGATCAAGCATCAACGCGCCAGCCAGTTACTTCGCGCGTGTGCTGTTCAGCACGCAACATAGTGTGAACGATTTACACTTTTACTTTATTTCTCTCGTGAACATCGATATGTCTGATCGTAACTTCGTAGACGCAGGTTGACGTACACTGTACAGAATAATCCAAAACTACCGCGCGGCACTCGGGTCTGTGTTAATAGTTGTTACTTGAAACTGGTCTCAAGTGAGATATACTCAGACTCGGATTCAGAGTTGAATGCAAGTTTTTCAGTTGAATCGCGATTGTGCATTGTATGTAACGTCAAGTATATCGCACAATTCAACTGGGAGTTGTAGATTTGAGGTAATGCCAAAGTGGATAACTCCAAAAGTGTCGATAACGTAGAGTGTTTACTGATTGTCACTAACACGATCACGCTATCCTTTTCACTTCAATTTCTTTAATTCAAATTGAACTTCACTCGGTGAGTTCGCTTGATTTTACAAAAGTGTGTTTTGTTTTACCATATTTATAAAGTCTAATTGTGCCTATATAGAAACCTTTCTGAAAATTTTTCGTATATTTGCAAGCTTCTAAATTTAGTTGTAAAAGTGCAGCAATGTTCTTTGAAATTTTTTTCAGTGGAGAGCAAACACGCGTTTGGTATGTACAATCTGTAAAACTTTTAAATCAGGTAGACATTTAACTCTTTAAGGCCCAGGCAAATCAGTTTCGTCCGAGTATAACTTTTTTCTTCACAAAATAATGTTAAAAGATGCTCTTGATGAATAAGATGAAATTGACTGTCGAGAAGTGCGATTTTTGGGATGTACATAACTATGTTTGCACATGTGTTTCAGTTGTAGAATTTAATGAATTTTATAATCATGATAACGAACACAAAAGTACGAACTTTGTGCGAACTTTTTGAGATAACATCGAAAAAAAATTGAGAAAATAGAATATACTCATTTCACACAATTTCGAGCATCAATAATTTTGCTCTGCACACGATCGCCATGTTGGTTTCTTCAGCGGGAAAATTATTGTTTCACGAATTGGATCGAAGAGTATCTTCTCTATCTAGAATGAATCGAATGACAGTATTACGGAATCATTACTTTATCAACATAACACATTCGGGGATGACCCAGAGTGAAGGTATATAATTAGGTACTTGAGTTTAAAGAGTTAAAGATATCGATTTTGAACTTTTTTATCATTTTCATTGAGCAGTGCTCCAATGAATCCATGCACATTCTTTCATTGTGTAAAAGCACTCGTAATCCTGCACAATCAGTACGACGTAAACTTTGCAAAAAATGCCTGTACTTAATCCGCCAAGTTCTCAATCACGGCATATCCCCTTAACTCCGAAATAAAGTCCGCGTGTCTCACGCGCGAAACAAGTTTCCAGTGGCAGCTGTTAATATCGGCCCCGAGCAACGCGAACTGGAGCTTGATTAGAACCAAAAGTGTCCCGACACGAATAAAGCGGTCTAACAAAGGAGCCGATAACCGATAAACTCGCGATTAAGCTCGTTTGTTTCTCTTGCCGTCCAAACGAGTTGTCGTCCGGAGACCCGAGAACGGATCCTGGAAGCATCTCTTCGGAGGCACCTCTGCTTGTTAACGCGGATAACGACGGCGGAATTTCCCGAAACGTCAATGAGCCCGTAGTTGAATCAAGCCTTTCATATACATTGTCCCCGGAGATATTTGTAACGAACAATTCACGACGACGATCGATACGTCGCGATCGATCGATCGTTCGTTCGTCCGTCCGTCTCGCGCTCCTCCTCCTTGCGGGAGCGAGCGGTCCTCGTTGTGTTTCCGTTATTCTGTGTAGCTATTGTAAACGATCTGTCAAAACAATCGCGTAGTACGCCGTATCACGACGTGGGGAGATTCGTGTGTGTGGGCTTAACGTGCGTTCCTTAGACCGAGTTACGGTAAGTTCGGCTGCCAACGACGCGACTCCGCTCCCGCGGGCGGCTCTCTCGATTTCGCGGAGCAGCGCGACGAACGCTTCGCGCTCTTTTCCTCTCACGTCCGTTTCTATCAACTTTCTCTCTTAAAGTCAATCAGTGAATAGTCACTGATATTAGTTATAGGTATAGCACTGAGCAGTTTCAGTGCTGTACTTGTAGCTGCAAATCAGTGTATATTTACTGCTTTCAATGATGTTTCACTGATTCACTTTGATTGATTTAGCCGACTGGTTACTCCAATGGAATTGACTAATTGCGTTTCTCGTTAGTCGGAATTAATAGATGCGATATTGGAATAACCAGCCGGTTATAAGTTAACTAGAGTTGATAGACGGGCATCAGGCAGTTTCATTGCATCGCGCTATTCTCTCGTAGCTTCTTCAAACCGCGCGAGAAGCTGCACGAGGTCTCTCTGGTTCCGTCGCAACGGCCCGGGCGATTCGCAATCGATTTTCGACGAGCAAGCGTCGATCACCCCCGCTCGATTCGCCACGCGCGTTCATTCCTCTCCCCGGGGTCGGCGACGGCGACGTTGGCAACCGCGAGTATACAATAATAACGTTACGACGCTCGCGCAGCGGCCGCGACTGGCAACTAAAGTGGATTACTTGATATGACTCGTGGTAGAAAACAGCGAAATTCGACGGCGTCTCTCAACGTCACTCGTTATCAAGGGCATTTTCGGTGGAAGTGTGCCGCCAGGTGTGTTTCTCCCTCTTCCTTCCCTTTTTTCCCTTGCTCTCGATGGGGGCCCTTCGCGCCGGTGCGATCTTATTTCTGACGTTTACGTGACCGGTGGAAGGCGGCTCTCTCCGCCGGTAATCGCGTAAACATCCGCGAACGCCGAACGTTTCCAACTTCTGACCCGCCTTCTCCTCCGTCGGCTTTCCGCCCGCGTTCCGCCGTGAAATGCAGCCGCGCTTTCGCGAATTTGTGCGGGGAACAGGCGAAATGGGAAAACAGGGAGACGACCTTTCGTACGCTGTTCTTGTCGCGGGTCCTCGGCGCGACGTGAGACAAGCGCGTGTTACGTTTCTCTTCTTCTTTTCCTTCGTGTCCCTCTGGGCTGAGACAAGACAAGCGGGTGGAAACGCTCGACGGTCCCGAGATGATCAGCAACAACAGTCGCGTATGATGAATTCACGATTGAACCGTAACTTAGGCGTTTCACTAGTTTTCCGTCCGAGGGGAAGAACACGTTCACATTCTCGACGTACGTGTCATGCACATGTGTGTGTGTGTGTATGCTTGTTTGTTCGTCGTTTACGCGTTTACGTGTGTGTATATATATTTATATTCATATTTATATTTATATACGTGTGCATATAATGCGCTCTCTCGAGTCGCGCGAAAAATAAATCGATGCGCACGCGAGCATCGTTCGAAGGCTAATCCGTGAAGTACTTTAACGATAATTAGGTCATTACGACGATCCTTAGGTCCGGTATGTGTGTGTGTGTGTGTGTGTGTGTGTGTAGTACACTCTAAAACGGCAATTTAATCCGTCACTTAGTTGCGCCTATTTACAGGTCATTCTCGCGCGGACTCCTGCTCTCACTTCACATGCACACATACATACATACATACGTACATACTTCCGCTCGCCCTTTCTCCCGTCGTGCTCGTGCACGCGCCTCGTCGTTGCGCATCCGATTACGCGGATGCAAGCGGTACGTCTAACTGTTCGCGAGGATCGGCCGGCCGCGCCGACCGACTCGCCGACTGTTCCCGAAGAGTTCCGCGCGCGGAACCGAGTCCAAGGACTCGCAGTTCAGTGCTCCAAGTCGAAAGTCTGGTCTGCGATTTGCGATCATTCGGCGTATTCGAGATTTCTGGATTATCACTGGAAAGATTGTCACCCGGAACTGATCTGCGACCGAGAGAGAGAAAGAGAGAGAGAGAGAGAGAGAGAGAGAGAGAGAGAGAGAGAGAGGAGAGAGAGAGAGAGGCAACAACGAGTTTACGCGACTTGGGAGAAGGCCCGCCGCGAAACACCACGGAACTTTTCCCATCCGTGTCGCGTCCGAACGATAAGATCGAAGTGAACGATCATTTCCGGCTGACTCTTGCTTCCTCCGCGATCTCACCACCTGGACGTCGGTTCCCATACGAGCTCTTCGGTATTACGGTGGATTATAGCGGATTCTGCCATAACACAAGCGTGCACAGGCGTAGCTCCCGAAGGCAGTCCATTCGCGTTCAAATCCGACGTCGCTGCGTGAGGGGATTAAGCCCGCATTAGAACAGTGTCCTCCATGTCTCCTCAACTTGAACATTCATTTCTCGAACTCGGAGGTACCATCGATTTATCGTCTCACTTGACTATATTCAACTAATTACAATCGTATAATTAAGTCAATCCTATTACCAAGTGGCTCGTAAGAACCAAATCAAAGAAGACGAGTGCCTGACCAATCGGCCAAACGCGAGATAGTTGCTGAATGTTTCATGTCCGACAGTGCAAGTTCAAAAGACGCGTCAAAAATACTATTTTGGTTGGGAGTTTTTTTTGCAACACTAATATTAATTAGTATCGTTCCACTTAAAATTATTAGAAATATCTCAATTTGACGTGAGAGGTGCGTAAAGTGTACGCGTTAGGTCAGGACATTTATAAAGCATGTATTAACTCTTTAAGGCTCACGTATTGATCTCGTTTAGATACGATTCTTCTCTTCGCAAAATAATCTGAAAAGACACTGCTGAGATGAAGAGTTTTGTGGCCTAAATAAAATTGATCGTTGAGAAGTACGATTTTCTGGATGTACGTTTCATGTCTGCACGTGTGCCCCAAATATAGGGTTTAATAAATCTTATAACTTGATGGGTAATGAACATACACACACATAAAAGCGCCATCTTGTACTTTGAAGTGACTCAATAAAAAATTGAGGAAGTAAAATTTGCTTACTCTTTTTCGAGAAAAAATCTATACAATTTGAAGCGTCAAAGATTCTGCTCTGCACACAATCACCATATTGGTTTTTCTTAACGGGAATATCATTGTTTCACAGATTGGGTCGAAGCTCTATCTAGGATAAATTGATAGTATTTTATTGACAAAATCTTTACTTTGCCAATGAAACATTTGAGAAGTGAATTATAGAATTACCTAAGTAGCCAAACTTACAGAAGCAAATTTTGTGCGGTGTGTGATGTAAATTTTGTCGGCAGCTAGCAGAAGTACAACAGGATGTGTCAACAGAATATGATGGCAGATTAAAAGCAGAAACCAGAGTAGGATTTGTCGTTCCTTAAATTTATATGTATTTGAATAAAGCATACTGCAGATCTTGCTCGGTTTCTGTTGCCAATTCGCTGTCAAATTATATCAGCGGACTCTGCCGACAGCAATACGAACTTAATGCGGAAATATAGTTGGCTATATGTATGTATAGATAACTACGGATCCGCTATGATATTCTGATCGAATCTGCTGCCAATTTGCAGGCACACTGCTAACGTTTTGCTTATTGAATATGTACTGAGCCTTAAAGAGTCAACACTGTCAAACATTAGAAATGCAGCAAACATCTTGCATTAGGCTTTGATTGGCCAGATACTCGTGTAAGAAAGTACCAATGGCTGGGCACGTACCTAACTTTGGGCATTCTTATTGTTCTGATCTCTACATACGAATATTTAAACTTTTAACATAGAATATGTATACACAAATATATACATAAATTTTATAGTTAAAAGCTTAAATATTTAGAGACCAAAACAGCAAGAATATGCCCAAGACTAAGCATACGTCTAGGCATTTGTACTTTTATCTTAACTAAGACTCTCTACCTACAACTTATCTCGTAAAAAAATATTATATTAATTATAATCGCTTAATTTGGTCATTTATCGATGATTCAACGAACAGGCGAAATTAATATCGATCGCAGATTTCATTATTGCTCATGTAAATTTGAAGCGTTCTCAGTCGAATCTCAGATGAATAGAATATTGAATTTTTCTGAGAGTGTCATTTAAACGAACGTTCAATCCTCCGGTAGACCTGAAGACGATCGCTCGAGTCTACGAAAACGAGACGATTTGTTACGACAACTCGCGATAAAATACTTTTGGGGTCTATCTAGTTCGCGAGATCTGAACGCTCACGGACCGCGCTCGCGCCGGCTATAATTATAATGCGACTACTTACGTAAAATTTAAACCCCGGTTTCCGTCTTTCGAATGGAATGCCTGCGTGTCATATAAGTGTGTGTATGTATAATATATATATTTATATATATATTTTTATTCTCTTGCTCGCGTTTTTATTTTTATTATTTTTTCTTTGTAAAAAGCCTCCCCTACCTAAAAACAACGCGTCGTATGTGTGTGTGTGTGTGTGTGTGAGTCTACTATACTGGCGATAAATCAACAAGTCCCTTAAAATACATTTTTCTATTCTGGAAAAATCCACGGTCATTAAATCTCTCTACCGAACACTCAAACATAACACCGATTTATCTTTTTTGTTTATTTTCTTTTTCTTTTTTTGTTCGTTTTCTCGCTTTTCCTTTCGCCTCTCGCTTCTCTCGTCGTCGTGATAGCTTCATTTCGCCCGTTCGCCCGCCCGTACGCTCTTTTATAAGTCAGTCTTGGCATCGTAAACGGTTATTAGGTGTGCTGCGGGTTACAACTTACGGAATAAACTCTCTAACAACGAGGGCTCTCACGCGAGAGCGGAGAGAAAAGGACCCCGTGTGTGTGTGTGTATGTTTCGTGTGTTGTGTGTGACGTGTCTTCATCTCCCTCGTACTAAATCCGCGTCGTTCGCACGTGTTGCCACGCGCGCGCGCGCGCACATATACACACACACATACACACACATTCACGCACTCACGCACGTATACAGATAAATTCTTACGTACATGTCATATCCATATGTATACCTTAAACTTCGCCACCTTAAAAATATATTATTGTCTTTCGATGAAAATGTAGTGTATAGCACTTGTAGCTCGCCGCTGTCCCTCCCATTGTCCTTAGTCCAGCCGCGCGACGACCCGGGACGACCGATCCCTTGGTGTTTTTCCCCCCTGCCTCCCTCCTCCCGCCCTCGTCGACCACACATGGACGATAATGTGAAGCGATCGAGCTCGAGTCGATTGATTCTCGCGCGACCTTCCCTCTCATCCCTGAACTGTGGTCGGTTTGTGATCTGAGTGAGTGCTGGAATATGTGCCGCGATATCGAGCCCTACTGCTTTTCGTTCCTTATCCCGCAGGATTATTGGGGTGACTCTGTGAAAACGTGATGCTCTTGCGAGCTGACACGCTCCTGGAGCACCCTCGACGTGTGGCGGCAAATAAGCCAGTTGCGTCCGTGCGTCTCCACTTCGCGCCTGGTCTCGTTATCGCTGCGCGACGACGACGACGACGACGACGGAGTCGCGGGGCTTGCGATTCCGGGTTCCGGCGTGCGGTCTGGTAGACCTCGAGAACGCGAGGTGCGCTATTTTCCAAGCGGAAGCTTGTTTCGCTTCCAGTCCTGCCTCCCTTCCGATCTCTATTCGCGGATTTCCGCCGCGTTGAGCGCGGGTATGATTGTGGCTGGGTCTCGTCTCGATTCCCTCATTATCTCAGAGCACTATCGTGCAGCGCTGCGCCATGGAGAACTCTGCTTTTGGTCCTGGTCCTGTTTCGGGTTTGAGCTCCTGCTCGTTCGGGAACACGGCCTCCTGGTGGAGCGAGGGTGGAAGTCGCACTTGGATCTGCGGGTCTATTCAGTTCTGCGTTCCTCAGACGGAAAATTCTTCTCGTTCCCTTTGCCTCACGACTGACGCGACATTAAATAACAGACCTGGTAACTTTCCGGTGAATCGCCGTCTCCTCGAGAACGCGATGAAGCCCCGGGATTTTTCATTTCTCCTCGAGTCGCGTCGCGTCGAGGCCTCAGCGCGATCCGCGAGCGCGAAGAAGAGCTGCTCTTCTTCGGGTTTGACCTTGGATGTCCAAGAGTCAGCGCGTCGCACGATCGGCTTGAGCATGCAATTCTTCTATACTTCGTCTCGACGACGCGCGCGTCGCACAGTCCGTTCCGACTCGTTAACGGCAGGAGAGGCGTTCACCAGGTCGACCGCGGTCAATGAGGACGGCGATGGTGGCGACGATCGTCGGGCTCGTGCGATTCGTTGTTGTTGCGGTCGATACACCGTTCGAGGACGATCGTCGATCTTGGTCCGACGCGAGCGAGCGTGAAAGTTCGCGCGTTAACTCGTCGCCGACGACGGCTGCGTCGTCAGGTCGACGGGCTCCTCTGACGTCGACGTCGCGTTGGCGACGATCGTCGGGCTTGGGGTTCGTTATCATACGTCATTGTCGTGGCAGAATTCGATCCTCCGTCTGGCTAGCTGCAGCCGCCGTTTGTCGACGATGAAGTCAGTCACGCAGCCTTTGATGCCGCGATGGCCCGGCTTGCCGCCGACGAAGAGCTTGCCGTTGGTCGTCAGCAACGTCGTCTCCGTCGCGACCTTCACGGGTGCATACTCGTCGATCTGCACGGTCGAAGCCTTCCGTCGTCGGGACGCTCGAATGTGATGGAAGATCCCGTCGTCCACTCTTTCCTGTAACGATATTAATCAAGGTAAAGATTCTCCCTTGAGATTAAAAAGTGAGCGCGTCGATTATCGCGGAGAAATTTCATCATTTCATTTTCAGAATGCAAATTCCACAAGCTGCCTCGGGTGCTTAACACTAGAACTACCAAAGCAGGAAAAAGGACAGGTTTGTAATTCCTTCCCAGTAAATAATATAATAGTTACATCGTCATAATATAACGGAATGTAACGTGCAATATAACACGTTATATGTAACATACACGTTAGTTGTAATTTCCCACTCAAACGATATTGCAACTATATAACAGAAATATAACATGTTATTAAAATCTTATAAAGCTGTTATATACATTGCTAAAATATTATATAGCTGGAATATAAATTATTATTTCCCAGCAATTATAGGTATTTAATTGTATGCAGAGATTATAAGCTATCACTCAAGTATTACTTAATTTGTAAAAGTAATAAAAAGTAATAAAAATAATAAAAAGTAATAAAAAAGTATGCTCCTAAAAATATCATTATATAATTATATATTTCGTATCAAAAATATTTTTACTAAAGGTAATAACGTAAAAGTATCTTGCCATTCTAAATTAATTAGCTTCCAAATAACACAAGATATTCCAGAATCATCCTAGAGCTATTCTAGACGTCTAGTGTCTCAGTATGTCTTCATTTTATGCTATTGGAACTATTTTCATTTATTTATTTTCATCTTTCTATAAATATTCAAATGGAATGGATTACTATTCCCATACAGTACAAATCTTCTAAAGACGTTCTAAGGACATTCATACATCCTAAGAATATCCTTGAACATTCTCTGAAGATTTTGTGCTATCTGGGTTGTAACAGTAATTTCCATTATCAAAAAGTGTATCACTTCACTTTACTATAAAAGTGAACTCCATAATACAAGTTGTGGTCATCTTATGGTCATCGTTCTTATATATACAATATATTAATATATCATACTTTATGTACGAGAAAGACACGAGAAAACGGGAGCCATCTAGTGAATGATCCGATCCCTAGATATAAAAATGTTATATAACATAGATGTAATGTAAATAAACGCTTGTTATATAACATATTATATTTTAGTTATATTGGTGTTATATAATTATAACCTGTAAATAAGAGAGAATTATAATAGTTTTAAAACATAGTTAGATTGCAGTTATAAAAGAAAATTATATAACTTTAACATTAATAACGTATCCGTATAATATCCGTTATATTATGTGTTCTACTTATATTATACTTCTATGTTATATAATAATTATATTCAGAATATAATAGTTATATTCTGTATTTTTGTTGGGTTATAAAAATTACTCAAATTTATAACAATGTAGTTCCCTTTCTAAAAAAGGTGCGAAATTTTGAACTTGAATATATCGAAATGTATCGAACATAAGAGATCTGTTCTTTTTAGCTGAACTGGGCTGCGTTCGGAAACGTTACCCAAGTGTACCCGTTGCGTTGGAGTGAGCGAGATATAAGAGTGCGATAAAAAGAGTATTCGAGTGACGTTTCCGAACGCAGCCCTGGTGTACACTCATGCAATAAGTTAGGGTAAAACAAAATATATTCGTCTCACTCTAATTTATTGCACCAGTGTGCACCAATTCAGACAGTTCAGTTAAAAAGAACAGACCTATAGATACGTAATTTTATAGTTACATTTAAGATGTGCAATGGCATAGGGCCACTTAAGTCAAGGTGTGCTCAGCTAACAATTGAAGTCTGAAGTCTGAAGTTATATTTAATAAATATAGTTGGCGTCTGGTAGATCACAGCTTTTGGCGTAGACACAGATTTGATAATGTGTGATTTTTTAGGTGTTTTTATTTTACTTAACTTATTTTTGATAATGTGTCGCGTAATGCAATAAAGTCCACTCGTATAACAAAATATGATTTATAACAAAGTATGATTTAGTAATTTTAATAATACATTTGACATATGAATATATAATTATAATTATTTGACTTATGTAAATATATAATTATAATTATATATACTTCAAACATTTTGTGAAATTAAAGAGAAGAAGAAGTGAAGAGAGAACTGAAGTGTGATGAAGTTTTATTATAAAACTTCAGTATATCTGCCAATAGTCTCATATGAATACTGTTTATACTATATACGACATTACACTATACCTAAAAATATCTAAGAAAAGATTGGAAGTATTTCTGTGAAGTATCTAATTGGAAAACAAGCTGTGATATGACCTGTGTGTATGTGTGTGACTAATGTACTGTAGGAGATAAAAAACTTATAAAGAATTTGGATTATATATTTTAATAGAGAAGTAGAAATTTAGATTAATAGTATTGGTAATCAATTGGATTATATTGCATGTACATATGTAGTTACACAGACAAAAAATAACATATAATATTAAAAGCATTACGTAATATATATAGTTTCCTACACAGCATGCATGTCTCTTAAAGATATCTAAAAGATTGACTCTTGATATATTTGAGTTTTACTTTTTAAGGCATATTTAAGAGATGCACATTGTATGTGTCTACTTATTAATAAAATTTACTGTTACTATTACTAATTTTAAATAATTGTTCATTACCATTATTGTTACTCAAGAAGTAATAAGTTATTACAAGAAGTAATGAATATTGTTTTTATCAAGTTTGAAGAACCTTTGAATGTCATTTCTTTCATGTGTATGTATTCTATGTGCAATTTCAAACTAATCATAAATGTTTCAATTATATTTGATACTGTTCCTTAAGAAATCTAATTCTGTTACTTTTACAGTCACACTTAAAAAAATTGTCTTTATTAATTAGTAACAGACAAAAACAAATTTATAATCTTCAAAGCATTACATAGCAGTTATTCAACTTTTTGAAAAAACTTACTACTACCATTACTAATTTTGGATAATTGTTCATTACCGTTATTATTGTTATTTATGTAAATAGTTATATATTATATGTAAATAGTTATTACAAGGAGTACTGAATTAGAATTGTGTTCATCAAGTTTTGGAAATCCTTTGTTTGACAGTTCGATGTCGCTTATTTCATGAGCATCTATTCTGCATGTATTTTCAAGCTAATCATAAATGTTTCAATTATATTTGATGCTATTACCTAAGAAATGTAATTCTGTTACTATTACAGTCACATTTAAATAGATTAATGTACTTATTAATTAATTACAGGCAAAAACTAATTTGTAACCTTAAAAGCATTACGTAGTGCTTATTATACTTATTGAAAAAACTTACTGTTACCATTACTAATTTTGAATAATTGTTCATTATCGTTATTGTTATTCAAGAAGTAATTAGTTATTACAAGAAGTACTAAATTAGTATTGTTTTCATCAAGTTTTGAAGATCCTTTCTTTGACAGTTCAATGTCGCTTATTTCATGAGCATCTATTCTGCATGTATTTTCAAGCTAATCATAAATGTTTCAATTATATTTGATGCTATTACCTAAGAAATGTAATTCTGTTACTATTACAGTCACATTTAAATAGATTAATGTACTTATTAATTAATTACAGGCAAAAATTAATTTGTAACCTTAAAAGCATTATGTAGTGCTTATTATACTTATTGAAAAAACTTACTGTTACCATTACTAATTTTGAATAATTGTTCATTATCGTTATTGTTATTCAAGAAGTAATTAGTTATTACAAGAAGTACTAAATTAGTATTGTTTTCATCAAGTTTTGAAGATCCTTTCTTTGACAGTTCAATGTCGCTTATTTCATGAGCATCTATTCTGCATGTATTTTCAAGCTAATCATAAATGTTTCAATTATATTTGATGCTATTACCTAAGAAATGTAATTCTGTTACTATTACAGTCACATTTAAATAGATTAATGTACTTATTAATTAATTACAGGCAAAAACTAATTTGTAACCTTAAAAGCATTACGTAGTGCTTATTATACTTATTGAAAAAACTTACTGTTACCATTACTAATTTTGAATAATTGTTCATTATCGTTATTGTTATTCAAGAAGTAATTAGTTATTACAAGAAGTACTAAATTAGTATTGTTTTCATCAAGTTTTGAAGATCCTTTCTTTGACAGTTCAATGTCGCTTATTTCATGAGCATCTATTCTGCATGTATTTTCAAGCTAATCATAAATGTTTCAATTATATTTGATGCTATTACCTAAGAAATGTAATTCTGTTACTATTACAGTCACATTTAAATAGATTAATGTACTTATTAATTAATTACAGGCAAAAACTAATTTGTAACCTTAAAAGCATTACGTAGTGCTTATTATACTTATTGAAAAAACTTACTGTTACCATTACTAATTTTGAATAATTGTTCATTATCGTTATTGTTATTCAAGAAGTAATTAGTTATTACAAGAAGTACTAAATTAGTATTGTTTTCATCAAGTTTTGAAGATCCTTTCTTTGACAGTTCAATGTCGCTTATTTCATGAGCATCTATTCTGCATGTATTTTCAAGCTAATCATAAATGTTTCAATTATATTTGATGCTATTACCTAAGAAATGTAATTCTGTTACTATTACAGTCACATTTAAATAGATTAATGTACTTATTAATTAATTACAGGCAACAACTAATTTGTAACCTTAAAAGCATTACGTAGTGCTTATTATACTTATTGAAAAAACTTACTGTTACCATTACTAATTTTGAATAATTGTTCATTATCGTTATTGTTATTCAAGAAGTAATTAGTTATTACAAGAAATACTAAATTAGTATTGTTTTCATCAAGTTTTGGAGATCCTTTCTTTGACAGTTTTATGTCGCTTATTTCATGAGCATCTATTCTGCATGTATTTTTAAGCTAATCATAAATGTTTAAATTATATTTGCTGCTATTACTTATGAAATATAATTTTGCTACTGTTACAGTCACATTTAAAAAAAATTAATATCCTTACTACAAATAATTATAGATAAGTTACTACAAATAATTATGGATAAGTTGCAAGCTGTAACTTCAAGAATGTTATGTAGTGTTTATTTTCCAACTCTAATATATTGAATAATATGCTTAAGTGGTGGTAATATAACAATATATAAATTCTTTTTTAAAGAAAATATTCTATAAAATATATTTTACTGCTTCTATAAAGAGTAGGGGTTTATTTTTGAGAAACTAGTGATGTGAGAACAAATGAAACACGATAAAAGTTAGTAATTTTAAAATTGAACATTTTGTAGTTAGAAATATTATTAAATATATTACATAGCATGAATATGACACAAGTAATTTTATAAAATATACTTTTATGAAATACATACTATACAGTAACATAAAAACTGATGAAAGGTGTTTTATTGTTTCAAGTTGCAAAATGGATTAAGTTCTTATGTATGCATAAATGTATAGTAAAACTACAAAATATCAAACAATTCTTATGCACTGAATTATATTTTTCTGTAGATAATCCTCACATTTTAGAAAACATTTCAAATATTACTTTATCAAATTACCAGCGAAATGGTTCATGCCTCTGTGTTTTAGTATATTTTTAATTGACGTTGAATGAAACTAAAAAAGCAAATAAATATTTGTCCTCTTGCATTATATATTTTTCTAAAAACCTGCCTTTCAATTATTCTGATAGAGATATGTTGTTTGTCGTTGATAGTTCTAGTGTTAACTATTTGAAAACCATCACGTTTTAGGGTAACATTAGTTTTACATGCACAACGTTGTGCAAAATATATATTAGCTTCATGCAAAAGATCTTATTTTTCAAATGAAACAGAATGTGAAATTATCCAATTTCGAAGGTTTAGTAGTTTATGAATAAATTAAACAACACCGGCATTTTTAGACATCTAACAACAGCTTCCTATTTCTCTTTTAACATCCAAACTTCCAATGAGATTTTAATAAAAAAATGACCTGATAACATACGAAGATATTAAAATATGCAAATTGTCAAACATATATGTCACCGAAATATCAAAATATACAAATATCATGCTGATTATACACGGTGACAAGAAGGAACATGTTTCGTCCGTGTACTATTTGGTCGAAACAGATAACTTACTCTGCTCTTTACGGATATCTGCTCAGTCTTGCTCTTGTAAGTGAGCACCACGTGACCGTCGTGCAGGAACAAGAAGAGATGCTCGATCTTTCCTCTGCCCACCCACGCGATCAGTCCGTCAGAATGTACAGTTCTTAGCCGCAGCTCGAACTTATTCGACTGCTGTCCCCTGCGTCTGAAGGAATACGTATTCAATAAGGATGTTGTTCGTCAAAGAGACTCGAACACATTCATGCTAATAATACGCACTACAGATCAATCTTCTACATCAAGGTACGTTTAGGATAGGGATATTAACATTGATAATCACAAATAGAAGAATTCAAACAGAATATATTACAATAGAAGCATCTAATAGACAGGCAATTTTTCAACAGATTTGCCATTCAACTTAATTCGTTCTTTAAACCAACATCTTTATACATTAAAGTGAAGAAGAAATTTGATTGTGACACTATTGAAATAATGTCTACAATCGCCATATAGTGCACTGACAAAGAAATATTTGACAATTTATTTGTGAAATAAAAATTTATTTCACAAAAATAAAATTTTCTTTATTTCATGGAAATAATCTTGATATCCCACAAAGAAAATACCAAATACTTTTTTTCAGTGCGTAGTTAAACTGTCATAATTGATCAATATTAACTAGCTGCTACAGTCAACAATTGGCAACTGTATTATTGAATTGAAGGGAAGTAGATGAGGATGATACGTTACATTTTGCAATAAATTTTTTCATAGTTATTTTTTACAATAGCATCTAATCGATACTTTCCTAGTCAAGTTCTTTTATATCGAAAAAAACTGATAAATCATCCACTGAGGAAAAAATATTTGAAAATTTATTTGTGGAATAAAGTTTATTCCTGTGAAATAAAATTTATTTTCGTGAAAAAAAACTTTTTATTCCACAAGTAAATTTTCAAGTATTATTTTCTTAGTGCAATTATAACGGATTCTAATGGAAAATTCTAATTTCTAATTTCTAATGGAAAAGAAAGCAGTCTCGACACGTGAGAGATACTTTCGCACATCGTAACCGCTGACGTATCACCTTCATTTCGTTCTTTTGCCACTTCCTTCCTCATTCCACCAGTCCTCCCCAGTTCTCGTCTCTTCGCTCGCGAGTTACAAGAAGCCGGCCGTCTAATTGTATCTTTAGCGCCGCGACGATCGCACGATCTACGTCAATCTACGTTCCTTATTACGCTCAAACGAATCCGGAGGCTGCTCCTCCGTCTAGGGAGGGTGGGCTTACCACGGGGATGCAATTATCGGGGTCGGCGACATACGACATACTACGCGCGAGGAAAGGAAAGAGTCTACGGTCCCTCAAACGAGTACACAGCCACAGGCACACTCGCCGCCAAGAAAACTTACTCCGTGTAATCGTAACTGTCGTACTCGTAGTCGACGTCCTCCTCCAAGTCGTAGTCGGAGTAGGACTCTTCAAAGTACTCGCCGAGGGTAGTAGTAGTAGTGTTAGTCGAGTTAGTACTAGTTGGTGTTACACAATCAGAAGGTTAGTGACATTAGTCGTTAGTCAGGAGCGCTAATTAGTAGTAGTAGTAGTAGTAGTAGTAATAGTCTACTCTCGCTTTCTCACGCTAGCGTCGACCGACGTGCTAATTGCAAGTGCACCTAATCGAACATCCTAGAGGATGTGCCGTTGCGTTGCTAAAGGCGCTCGTCGAAGCCGCGGTATTTTCCATTCGCGTGCACGCGCGCGCGTTTCACTCACCTTCTGCCGTAGCGATGCTTGAACTGCAGGAAGTTGTCGCCCTCGAATCGCACCGGTCGCTCGGAGATCTCCGTGCCGGAAATGTCGTAGCCCATGACTGCAAGAAACGTTTCCGATTAGGCTCGTTGTTTGTTGCTTAAGCTACTCGGAGCCGGTTTTCTAGTAGCAGCTAAAACTTAGGTTTAAGCTTAAACTCTGTATAAACGCATCGGACGCACCGTTATAACAGAGTTGAACTTAAACCTGAGTTCCGACTACTGTTGGAAAGTCAGCTCCCGGAGTGAAAACTCATTCGGAGCGAATGAAAATTCACTTGGAGCGACAGTGAAGATATCGGGATCACAAAAGCGAATGTTTAATTCGAACTTGGAGTGGATTCTTGGTCCATACGAGTGAATGTTCAGTCGTTAGAGTGAATGTGTTCCAGTAACGATAGAGATTCACTCTTCAATTTCGAATGAAATTATCCACTCGGCGATTCAAAGAGGAAGTATTCACTACGAATGATTAATTATTCAACTTGGAGTGACTGTCATTCTACTTCGCGAGTGGAATTCCACTCGTAGAAATTTAGAGGGTAATATCCCTAAAGCGTATAATGTTAGTCTATGAGATCCAAACGAATGTTCGATCGCTCGCCAACTTTCGTGAAGGGCTCAGGAAAAGTTCAAAATAGCGCAAATCTGTCTGCAGATTTTGATTTTTCTGCAATATTATCTTATAACTGAGGCTATAAGATAATTGATTTTACTGCAGGATTATCTTTTATATCTCTGGAAGAAAATGTTCAGAAATATTAATTTTCAATAAAGTGGTAATTCAAAGATCTGATAGACCTAGATTATATATTGTATGTCCCAGAAAATATGATTGTACGTAGAGGATATTAATAATTATGTCGCCCGGAATTTTTCTTCAAGCCCTTACCTGTTGCTCGTTATTACAATCCCAAAAAATAAAAATAACTTGAATTTAGTTCGAGTACAATATGTTAACTCTTTAAACTCCCTCTTTGATTTGGAATGAAAATAATTAGACGATTCAGTAGAAAAAAAGTGGAAAATTCACTCTATATGAGTAAAAAGTTACTCGCATTTTAATGACTGGCTGTCGTTCTATTTTTTTAGTGGAGTTCTATTTTAAGAAATTTAGAAAATAGATCTCTCTCTATTTCGGTATATCGTCGAGATGTACATATCGTTTAATAATTTCTTATATAATTACGAGGTAAACCGTTACGATATATTATTAATATGCGCGATATATTATAAATATATTATCTTCTTCGTGAAACATTCGATAAATATTTTATTATGTGATCTCCTCGAAAATTCTGCTGCAAATTTAGCCACAGTTGCTGTTTTAAATAAATTAGTCGATGTTATAAGTGGATTCGAGGGGAAGATGCGCGCATAAAGAGGCACGAATGAAATTCACGGAGCATGAAAAAGATTACGAAACCGAGAAGAAAACTCACAGAATTCACAGTGCAAGCCGTTGTAACCGCTGGCGCACTTGCAGAGATAACTGTTCAGAAGTGGAAGGCAGACCCCGCCGTTGTGGCAAGGGTTCTCGTTGCTGGGGCACGGTAGACCGTCGTAAATCTCCGTGTTGTGTTGAGTAACATTCACCGCGAGATTCTGATATGTTTTGCCGTTTACCATTAGTCTCTGCACGGCGCCCACCAACCCGGTCCACGCTCCGGCCAGGCGATGTACTTCTCGCCAGTGTCTAAGAAATCGAGCGATCGTGATTATTATTATCGCTTGAATCAGCTTGAATTTACTTTTTACACAGACTTGAGTAAGCGTTATGATTCAGACATTTAAATGTACAGATTTGTATATTTCCTAATAATTATAAAAATATATTTATATTTTTTTAACGATATATCATTATGATTCTTTTACGAAAAGAGAGAATGGAAAAATTTCTGTTGATATTTAATAAAAAAATAACATTGTTATCATATTTTATTACAACATATATGCATAATTTATAGGCTCTTTTCTCTCATGTTCATATTGATTAATATACTTTTGCAATTATATGTATATTTATATAATATTTATAAAAAATAAAATTAATATATATTTACAATAGTCGCAAAAATATTGAACAACATATGAGAAAAAGATAATGGTTTGATATTGTAAGAGAAAAAATGAAATAATTAAAATAATAAAAATACATTATAATTTGAGAATAGCTTACTTGACGCCACCGACGTAAAGCGGCATTTCCAGGTTCAGTTCAGTGAGAGGACTTCCGGACAATCCTCTGGCGACGGTACCGTCGTCGAGCTGAAGGACTCCCTCTCGGCCGAGCCTGCTGATTCTCACGCAGTGCCAGGTGTCCAGACTGACTGGATCGGGTGATGTGATATTTGCGATGCCGCTGCCGAGATTGAATCTGAACTCCAGCCTACCGTGGACCAAGTTCAGACTAATAAAATCGCCCTTGGCGTTGTTCAGCTGGCCGTTGTAGAGCAAGAGACCGTCGCTCGCGTGCGTGAGGAACCAAAGCTCGATGGAGAACGCTTTTGCGACCCCCTCTAAGCAAGGCAGCTCCAGGAATCCGTTGCCCGACATCTCGGGAATCAGCAGCTCCGTCAACTCGGCGTCCACTGCAGGAATGACAATTTAAGGCTACTTAAAATGTACTTTCGACATTTTTTCTTGGCCGCAGTTGACCAAGAGTTACCGAGCAAAGTACTCGACTGTTTCGCGAATGTTTTTATTTTCTAATACGAACATCTTATATTAAATTTGTTACATTAGGAAATTTACTTAAATCTCTCAAAAGTATCTAGTTTCTAAAATATAAGAACTAGAATAGGAAGAAACATTCAAATTCGATTTTTTATGGTAGAAAGTTTTATTCAAGCCTTTCTCTCGAAAGTGTATAGTTCCTAAGATTCAGAGATAGAAATAAGGAAAACGTTTCACATACAATCTAACAGAAAAATTTACCTAGTCTTTTGAAAGTTTTTAAGATATAGAGACGAGAAAATGAGTGAAATCCATCTGTTACAGTAGACAAATTTCTAAGAGCTTCAACCCTTTTAAATTAGAAGTTGTTCCAACTTTAATTT